AGTGCACAGAGGTACCGTCGCCACGTGCGTGGTGTATGGAGCGACGTGAATTGAGCATCGGGTGGAACAGACGGGTTCAATGAAGTCAGTCATGACACCGCCATCCGGGGAGATCCGTACAACCGGAAAAGAAAAAAATTAAGGAGGACCAGGTGTGTTTGAATGGGGCTGGGCCTGTATAATCAAAGATCCTTGGTACATCCAAGTCGAGTGACGAGAAATAGTTTTGAATCATGATGTTTCCTAGTTTCTGTTACCTACTGTACAAAACAGCACACAACTCACAGAAACAACTGTTTGCGGTGGTCCTCAAAGAGTCAAAGACAGACACAAAACACTGTCTAGCAACCATCCGAACTAGAGAAGAAGGACCATTTAGAACCTCTTACATCGCACGGTGCAACAGTACTCTAACCTACCACTGAATGATGATGCAATAGAGGGATATTTAAACACTTCCGTCCACTCTACCGCAGCAGCCAGCTACCGACCACCGCAATCGCAATTTTGATTGTCGCCGTGAAAAGAACAATGTCATCGCAGTCAGAATGTCCAACTCCCCGTGTGAGACTCACGCGGCTTCCGGAATCGGTCTCCAGCGTCGTGGATTGCGTCAGGCACGAAATCGGGGTCATCGAACGCCAGCTAGAAGAATGCTACGAAAACGACAACAAAAACAAAAACACCAACAACATCGAAAACAAAGAGAACMAAAACAAAAACGACAACATACAAACCGAGTCGCTCGAAGATGCCATCGACGATGGATTCATGTGCGTCGATTTGAGGGTCCTAGAACGAAAGCTAAGAGCCTGGCACCGCTTGTTTTCTCCGGCGTTTTGCAACAGCAAGAATCGAAGCGGGCACGACTACACCGTGACGCCCTTCTTCGCCATCAAGTGCAACCCCGATCCCGTAGTAGTCCAGTGGTTATCCCGGACCGCGTCCCTCTGGAACCTTCCGCTGGGGTTCGACTGCGCCTCGATCGCCGAACTAGAGCTGGCCAAGGCGCAGATCGAAGCGTACAAGCTGAACGAAACAACCGGCAGAAACGGCAGCGTTCCCACCACCCGGATCGTCTATGCGAATCCACAGCGGGCCGAAGCGGATTTGATGCGGGCGCTCGAGTTGTTTGCAACGAAGGTCCCGCTGGAGCCGGATTCATCGGCCCCTGCAGCGACAACAACGACAACAGCAGAAGAGTTGTGGTTGACACTGGACGGAATCGAAGAGGTGTACAAGATTGCAATCGCCCGGGAACAATTCCTGGAGAAACACGACCCTAGTAAAGCCACCAACGGAACCAAACACTGTAGGGTCGTCATGCCTAGGATCCGCATCGTCCTGAGGATCTGGGTCCCCGACGGACACTCCCAGGTCCCCCTGGGCGAAAAGTTTGGAATGCGCCTGGACGAGATCGATATCCTGGTGGGGGCCTGCCTGGAGGCCGGAATCGACCACTCGGACATCATCGGGATTTCTTTCCACTGTGGCTCGGGCTGCGAGTCGGTGGAAACCTACCTCGAGGCGCTGGAAATGGGCCGCACCGCAATGAAAGCCATCGACCAAAACCTGGCGGTCGTTTCGACGCAATCGTCTGAGCTTCCACCGCCACGCTGCTGGCTGCTTGATATTGGCGGGGGCTTTCCGGGCCTAGACGGCTTGGACGGAGATGTTGGAAGGTTTGCTGTGGGGGACGCCGCGGAAGTTACTTGCACCGAGATTCCGGCGGGGGAGGTAACGGGGCATCCCGGCAAAGAATCCGCACCACAAACCACCGTTGCTGACATTGCAATGGCCGTTCGCCCGGTCATGCGATCATTGGACAGTGAAACCCACAGCAACGATCACGAAACGAATCCACACCTGACGCTCATCGCCGAACCGGGGCGGTATTTTGTCGAAGGAGCCTTTGCCCTTGCCAGCCGGATCTATCAAAAGCAGCTATTGTCACGACCGATCGACGACGAAGTCAACACGGAGGATGAGAACAAGGGCGACAAAAACATTCGTGTGTACCGAATTCCACACGGAGTCCAAGGAGTCTTCAAGGATGTCCTGCTGTGCGGGGAGTCTTTCGTGCCACAGCCACTCCAAACCGAGGCAGGAGAAGGCCAGGAGCACAAGCTCTATCCGTCCAGGGTGGTGGGTCCGTCGGGAGACGATTCCGAAGACGTGGTTTGCGACTCGTGCCTCCTGCCCGAACTCAAGGTGGACGATTGGCTCGTCTTTGACCGAATGGGTGCCTACACACTCTCGATTGCATCGAGGGCGGGCCGGCCGGTGATGCGGTACGTCCTGGGGGGCGACGGGGACACACCACCACAGGCAGAAAACCCCGATCCAAAGGCGTTCTGGTGATCGGCCACTGCATCCAACGAGTCAAGAAAAAGGCCATCGGTCAAGCAAAGAACATCCCACAAAATCGGATACCGGAGTGTTTAACACACTAAGAAAATCTCGGAAATAAGAATTGGAAAATCATGATTTTATTTTAAAAATGAAAGCACTGTAAATGTTTAGTGCGTGCGGATGGGTCAAGAGTATGCGTTWGGGTCGCAAGATWACTCGTCCATTGAACCATGCGTTGTCGTTAGGCACAACGAGCAATGCCACTGTCCCGCCGCCGAATTTCCCGTCCTAGTGCCACGCCCTGTTGCGAGGGCCTGGGTTTTAGCTTGGTAGTGTGGCCCTCTGACTGRCAGTGGCTGCCGCTGTCATCTGATAGGGAGGAAAAGGACGAGGACGKGTGCAGCTGTAGGGTGGAATGAAATATCAACGAACGGCGATCCGAAATATTCAGTGGCGAGAGTGACAGTGCGCCTGTTGGACTCGAGTCCCGCGTTTCATCGGGTGTGCCGTTCGCTTCGGCTTCCCGCTCTTKCTTCAATCTTTGGAGTGTTATTGCTGCTTCTTGCATCCGGAGAAGCGACTTGCGCACGATTGATGTGGTAGAAAAGAYGTCTATTTCTTCGTTGGAGAATGCCGAGGACTTTGCTTTCAATCTCTTGTTGTAGTTGCGGTTGTAGTCGATCGTATTGATGTGGTTGCCAGTGAATCTCGGAGCCGGGAACATGGGGATATCCTTGTTGTCTAGATCGAGAATAAGTCGCTTGGAAAACGGTCTCTTGCAAGAACTGCCGTCGCCGTCATTGGTGGCGTCGGCGAGAAATCCACCGCCAATGGGACGCGCTGGCATGTATTSGTAAGGATTTTGGGACTCGTTCTCGTAACTTGGGGGCGTTGTGTATCCTTCGAGAGGTATCGTGAAAGCCGTCGTCACGAATTCGGAAGATTGATCGGTCAYCATGTTGAATGCAGTAGATTGTACTATTGTGTGGGTATGACAGGTGTTGCCAAGAAAATGCCTTGCGATGCTTTCTTTTTCGGTTTTGCAAAATACTGTAATGAGAAATTCATTCGTATTTGCATTTTCAATGTGACATGAGAACAGTACAGTATTTGAGCGTGAACTTTGAAAATTAATTATCGTTCTTCACACGGCAAGAGTACGAGTACTTTACGTACCTAACAACCGATCATTGTTTTCGTCGCTTGAAGCGACGAAATACCACTACTACGATTGAAGAAACACTTCACCGAACAGAACGTTCCAGATACTGATAAAAAGTTGCATACGATTCATAAGTGAGTTTTAGTCGCAACACCAATATTGATAGTTTTTGTTTTTTCGGTTTCATAATTCCTTCTACGTAGTCGTGAATTGTTACTCCTATTCCAACTTGAAGTTTATCCCCAATTGAGATGACTGGCATAAATATTGTTGAAATTTTTGTGTCAATTGAATGAATCAAGTAGRTAATGATTCTTTACTTTACCGCACCTCATGGTTTTGCGAATGCCTAAGAATCCCAAAGATCCTCAATTCAAATCGGAAACAGACTTCTTAGGAACATTGAAAATAGACATGCTCTTTTCATTTGAGTTCGCATCTCGCGGGGTTGGGAACACTTCGCAACGAATCATGGATGACCGCCGAGATTCAAATGCATGTATACTGTTTCAAAATCGGTTGAGTCCAATGAGATGAATYATTCTTGCAAGCGAGTTCTTGTAAAACCCACTCAGGTACGGGAGCAAAACATTTCTTGGCGACGCCAATACCAGTACTATTAACTGTTGGTCAAGCACCCGTTTCAYAAAGGCGGATACTCGATGTTCTAGTAAGCGAAAAAAAAGTCTCCTGCAGGGTGACATAATGGAAGGGGCGTATGGTACAGTAGTACGAGTAGTTCTTTTCCTCGTTTCGATATTACAATTATCGGCTGTAACAACAATCTAACCGGTCTAGTACTTCTTGTACTAGTACTACCAGCACTAAAAGGGTTTTAACAGATTGGTTTGTTGAAAAGGTGAAAAATTGATGCTTGCTCTGTTACAGTGGTGATGATGTTAGTAGTACTAGTAGTGCTTGTTTCTCTTGAGTGCAGCAGTAGTTTTATCATGATGATATGATGAGGAAACTTCAAACTTTTCTTCTGGTGATCATTTTGCACTACTGGTACTAGTAGTACTAATATTTGTCATAATCCTGTTCCATTTTTAGCACTGGTGGTAGATACTTCTTCTTTTTGCTACTGTGGTGATGTAGGATGAGGACTATTATTCCTTGTCTAATCAATATAGTAAGCAACAAGAAGCAACAGCAGCAACAACGCTGGTTGGAAAATAAGAAGCACCACCACTGCTCTTCTTGCTAGTTCTACTCCTACTAGTATTGTACTAGTAGTACTAGTACTAGAGTACTAAAAGTAACACCCCATCCTCTGATTTTAGATAGGGACAGCACGTGCCACCAAAACTGACTCAGAGGCTTGTGGCCAAGGAAAAGGATCCTCCTATAGGAAAATTTTAGAGCAGCTCACTTGCCGAGGAGGAGGACAAGAGGAGAGGGGTGTTAGCAGTTGCTGTGTAAGAGCCTCCATATCAGTGTCCTACTAGAGTGGGAGTAGCTACACGAGGTCATGATTGTGTATTTGTTCTTTCTTCCTGGTCTGTTGGATCTAGTACTAGTATGAGGTACACAGTAATCCCTATCCCTAGTTGCCAGCAATATTTATTTCACAACATCAGTATCCTCCATAGTATCAGCAACTCTTCAACCATACTACTACTACTACTAGCAGCACTATACCAGATAGCAGTAGGAGAGCATCATACTGGAAGTAATACGACATAGTAAGAAGATGGTACCGGAGGAGTAGTAATCTAGGTGAGTACCAAAGTACCACTTTCATTTTTGTCTGTTGAGCCTATTTAAATACCTCATTTTTTTATTTACTTACTATGGTGTTGACACATTCTCGACTGTGCAAAAATTGGATTCTTACTACCTAGTACTACTATAATAATACCACTAGTACGACTACTACGCACTACTACTGCTAGTAGTAGTAGAAAAAAAGAAGCCAACAAGAACAAAGTAGAACAACAAGAATCAAGAACTACAAGAAGAATCCCAGCAAGAAGTGCTGTGTGGTGGTGTGCTGGTGTGCTGGTCATCCAATAACCAGCAACAAGAACACCACCAAGAACACCACCACCACGACCACCAGTCCACCATTTCAGCAATAGTATGACAGCAGGAGAGGACGATGGGCTGGTTTGGGGCAGTTTCAGTGTTCAAGGGTAAGTTTTTGGAGGAAGATATTACTACTAATACTACCATTGCTATTATAATATAAATAATAGAAGTACTATTATTAGTAGCACAGAATGAACGAGCAGCAATGAGGAGGGCTGCAACAGCTCAGCTCAGCTAAGTCCCGGATGATGTTGGTCACGAGTTTTCGAGGCACGAGGCACGAGGAACGAAGGCAGATGTCTTCAGCTTTCATTCGGTCTTTGAAATTCGAATTGAATTTTGAAATTCCTTTCTACGACAGGTGCCAAGCATTTCCCGTTGCTGTTTGTTTACACCAGTACCTTGCGCCTCTCGTAGTCGGCATCGGATACGAGTACCTGATCTCCTTTCAAAGGTAGCAATAGTCCAAGCCTATTGGGCTCTAGGTATGGCAGTATCAGCATCGGAATTGTTATGCCCAGTGCAGTGATTTTCAAAAGTGCAGCTTGTAGTACGAGTTACTTCTAGCAGACAGTGACGATGGTGGGCTCCTGGACGCTGTTCGTGTGCGTGCTTGTCGTCATGTCGGCGAGTGTGTATGTTTCCTTCGATGACAAGCACGTCGTTTCKGCCTTTCAAAGCAACAACCGCAACAACAAAATACCTCTGGAAAACAGACGCCGCCGTACGACCTCCCGGAAGACGGAAAGGGTGGTTTGCTCCTCGTCTCGGAGAAGGAACGGGAACGGGAACGGCAGCGGCGGAAAACCCGGGCGCGCCCGGAACCCATCCGGAGAGGACGCCAGGTGCGAGGCCGACCTTCTGCTGGAGTACTCCATCGATTCATTCCTGAGGGGAGACTACGACCGGGCCTTTTCGGAGGACGCTTCCTCGCCCCTCCCGGGCCTGTCCCCCTCGGAGACGGTCGACGCCGCCCTKCGGTCCCTCCGGAACCTGGACGACCCGGAGCCCTTCCACGGGGCGGCCGTGCTSCTGCGGTTCTGCGCCGAGCTCGGTCGGGGGGAGCGCTGGGGAACGACCATTACGACCGACCARCGCCGGGGCCGGGAGGGGTCCTGGAAGGAGCTCCTGCGCGGGGCCCTCACCCCGACCATGCTTGCCCGGCGGATCCGGGCCTCGGAGGAGTTTTCGGGGCTCCTGGACTGGAATGGACTCGAAATCACGGAGAGCGCAACAGATTKGGTTGCGGGGGGAATGGCAACTGCYCCGGGGCAACAAAAGCAGCCCTTTCCCGCGGATGCGGACGCGAACGCGAACCGCAACGTGGCCTTTGTGGACGCGGCCCTCTTTTTTGGTGGCGAGCACGCAAGCAGAAGCACCGGGAAACAAATCACAAAGACAAACACCACGAGCGGGGGGGAAGGCGGCCGYGCCCGCGGTTTGTCTCCGCCGGAACTCTACCGCTTTCGGCTGGCCAAGATGCTGGGCGGGGTGTGGCTGATCGATTCCGTCCGGCGGAGMCCCCAGGGCCTGTCGTCCGCGACCAACTCCAAGGCGAGCGAGAGGCGAAAACGCGGGAGGCCACGGGGGCGCGAGGAACCGCGAACGAAACGAGGAGAACGGCCGGTGCAAAAACGAGGGGACAAACGAAAACGAGGCGGCAAAGAAACCAAGGATTTCACCARGGACGATGGCGAGCAGCGCCGTGACAAGCGATAGCCTCTGGTCACGTCGATCGTTTCGAAGAAAGAAAGYGCGCTGCATTCGAAGCGACAGTCTCTCTAGATTGCACCTACGGTTCGGTCTACGACAAGAGGTACAAGAAGAGGAGACTACCGAGCCAAAACGAGAAAATTCGGAAAAAGCAAGCCATCCTATATATTATACTACTAGTAATTTGTTGTATCACACAAYCTAGCTTTTGAATAGATAACACGCGCAACGCGTTTTTCTCTACTGCCATTTTTTGGGTTGCGTGCGTCCGGTCGACCGACCAACCCGTGCTCGAAGCTGGCACGGCTGCAGAAACCCCCGAGTGGCACAAGCGGCTTCGGCTTCCCTCAAACCTACAGACCCTTGAAGGGCAACAGAATCGACATGGACAGCAASAACGAGGCCAGCCAGATCCACCTCCTCTTGTCGTCCACGTCGGTGCACTCGTCGCGGCACGGGATCTCGAGCCGCGACTGGAAGAGCGCCACGAAAACGAGCCAGCACACCTGCAACGGGTCCCGGTGGCTCCAGAGGATSCAAAAGGCCATGCACAGGGAAATCACCGTCCCAGACCGATGGCCCATGGCCGCAAAGCACGCGCGGCCGCCGTCCAGCCGGAAGATCGGCAGCAGGTTCAGGGCCGACGTCACGAGCCCGAAGCTTCCCACCAATAAGAACGGGTGCATCGGTATCGGCTGCGCGAGCGGGAGCATCATGGTCTTCGGCAGCAGCCACGACAGGATCGAGCCCAGCAGGAAGCTGGATTTCAGGTCTCCGGCGGGCAGGAACGGATACGTGGCAATGTCCACGGCCGTGGCCCGAGCGGTCAGYAAGGCGCCGGAAAAGACCAGGCCGAGCGACGCGGCGAGGGCGGTCATSGGTCCGCTCAACGCAAAATCGAACAGGTCTCTTTTGGTCGACGGGAAGGACCGGAGGGGGGTGATCGATCCAAAGAAAGGCATGATGCTGTAATAGGATGGGATCGGGACGGGACTGCCGATTTTCATCTTCCTCCGCTTGGCTACAAAGTAATGAGCTGCCTCGTGGATGATTTGAATCGCAATCACTCCCAAAGCCAACGGAATACAAGAGGACARCACCTTCAATTGCCTTTGATTGACGAGCGCATCGTAGAGATAAGGATTGCGGATGTAGTGCATGAAGGAGTAAACAAAGGTCGTAAAGGCCGCCAGCGGGTAGCACAAACCCTACCAATGTATCAGTCAAGCGAGCGCATAAGTCAAATGAACCGTCGATCGCCACGAAACGCATTAGTKAGTTTTTCGAGAAATCACAAGTTTATTCATCATCGTCTAGTGCTCGTCGCAATGAGTTGCAAATATCAACACAGCCRTGTCTTCTTTTTCTTTTCTGTACRTACCTTTCCGAGTTTCCGGATCCACCCTTTTTTCAGCTTGCTTTCGTCGGGCGTTACAGCCTTAGGGAGCGCCAAAATCACCGGGTTCATCGATGACGCAGACGGTTCGGCTCTTTCGGTGCCGAGTCGTTTTGTGCTCATTGCTGCCTTYGCGGCAGAAGGTCTCCTGCTGTTTGCCGTCGGTCGTCCCAGGCCTGGATCYGGCAGGACAAAAAGCTGAACCCTGTCTTGCAACCCCTCTCTTTCGAGTCGGTTCTGAATGTCAGCAAAAACCATGGCAGTATTGTCGTATTCCATTGCTGCGGTTTGCTTTCGTCGAGCCAACCATTGCCTTTTGAACCACGAGGTTCGGTTGTTTGCTGGGACAACAGAAGGGGTCGTGGAGGAGTGAATCGTCTGCCGAGGGGTGCGRAAGTTACCGCGAAAAAGTGCAGCCCCAGGAGCGAACTCGGAAGAGGTAATGTAAAACCTGCTATCGAGSAGGACYTTGTTCTTCAGTATGTTCAATTCGGCGGCTTCCAGCGAACTGTTTGTGATTACAGCAAAAGGCGCTGTTGAGTTGTTCCCATTCGTATTGTTTCCCGGCCGCGAGGACGACGGTTGATCCGCCTTGTCCAAGGATAAGATATACGGAATGTAGGGTGAGGGTACCCATAAGGGAATAAATGAAGGTGTCTCTCCAGAAGARGAACTCCACACTCGAAAACCCATGGTTGTAGAATTGTTGCTCCCCATGCCAGAAAAGTGCAACGCCGTGTGATCCGAGGATGGCGAGGGTGGAGATACGGAAGCTATCTTGTTGGTTTCCATTGCAYTCTTGCGCTTGATTTCCATTTCACGCCTTTGTCGAAGTTCTGTCMWTCGGTTGTTGATCARTTTTGTCAGCTGTCCACTCGTCACAAACAACACAGATGATGAAATAGAAGAGGAAGACGAATCAGAAGATTTGATTTTCGATTGCGATGGTGGTGACGCAATCGATGGTGGCGTGGACGCCATTTTTGGTGGCGATTTTCTTGCTTTTGTRGCTGATGAAGAATTGTCATTTTCTTTGCCTTCCAGCATACTGTTTGCAGCAATGCTCTCATCCAACAGCCAAGCTGCCTTAGTTAATACGTRAAAGTAATCTTTRTATRGAGCCGTGTAGTTTTTCGGTTCAAAATCCTCTTCTTGCTGTGAATCCTTTAATATTGTGAACGCACGAATTTCGTCTATTTCTCGATTATGTTGTTCGTAGATCCGATCGACCACAGCCATGATTTGTGGGCGAGAAAATTTGCCTTGCTGCAATCGGTCGGCAAGRACCCTGGCGTCGATCACATTAGTATCATTCGAAGCAGCGACACCCTCGGCTAATCTTCCGTCTTCATTTTCTGTGTTTCTCTTACTGCTTTCTTTTGGATCCTGGTATTGCAACGGTAGAAAGAGCGTTGCAATAAGTTCGTCYGTGATGGCATCCCGCTCTTGGCGTTCTTTTGCAGCCTTTTGCCGCAATTCGAGTTCCATCGCTCGAGCTTCTGCCCGAAGTTCGTCGGCCCGCGCACGAAGCACCTCGATTTCGCTGCTGTTRGAAGACAATAGCAATTCTTCGGAGCGAATRYCATTGSTTCTTTTTGTGTCGGTGCTTTCATTGGTGCGTATTTCTTSTCCGTCGTCGTCGGTTCGTGCATAACGCACGACGACGTTACTGCAGGGGTGGTAGCGGTGGCAATGAGTCCGTCCTTGGATTCTCGGAAGCAATTCTTTTGTCTTTTGACTTGGAAGATACAGTGAAAAGGCATCACACTCCTTTATATAATTCCAACAAAACAAAGCTAGAACGAGAAACGAAGGAATTCTCATTTTTGACATGCATGTGTCTTTGTTGCCGTTACGAACTTGTAAGCCCCGCTGCCGTCGCCGTCCATTTCTCCTGCCGACTGTCATTGGTTCTCTCGATCTAATAATCACAGCCATAGCAAAGTCGCATGCTGCYTGTCAATTRTCGAAAGTGATTGCTAACGGCCAAAGTTGGAAATTGATCCCAGTGCTACAGCGTTTCAACCCCCGTATCTTGTCCTAGCGCTATCGCAAGAGAAATTCTGGTGAACGAATGAGAATGAGTGTCCTACCGGTATCTGCATGCCTGTACGGCATGTAGATGCGTCATTCGGCCTTTTTCTTCGAAAATTCTCTGAAAATATTGCGAAAAATWATAAAAATCAAAAAATTWGTAATTTTTCGTTTCAAATTGATTTGAGAAATGGTGAGGAAAATCAGAAATGAGTAGACTGCCGGTATCACACCATGTTTTGATAATTWGTAGTAACAAAACCACTCCATAACCCAGATGGCATTGGATAAAGCGWTTTAATAGACACCAAATGTCATTTAYGTCATGTGCTGACAACSATTTGGAATTASTACTCCATGGATGATTAGAACAAACCAATTTTTTGSC